AGGGCCGGTATAATTATTTGGCTGAGACCGGCTGGTTCGGGACGCTGGTTGGAAACAGGCCAGTACTATTATTTATTTGAGACCGGCTGGCTCGGGACACTGGTTGGAAAYAGGCTCGGTACGYTGGTTTGAAACAGGCCCGGTATAATTCTGGTACCCCTGCCTGGGCGGGCCCAGGCTTGCGAGCCTGGCCTAGACTGAGTCATTGGTCCGCGTCCACTAACGCTCACAGGCAAGAGTGCGGTCAGGATATAGTAGAGGCGAGCGGACCACAAAAGGGGGAGGTGTACGTGGTGTACACCGCGGAAAAGCTCCGTTCCGGAGGAAGCATGTCAGATTTACACAGCGGAATACAGCATGCGTCTAGGCAGGTCAACGAGCGGAGAGCGGAAGAGAGAAGATTGTGAGAGAGAGAGAAGACTGTGTGTGAGAGAGAAAGAAGACTGTGTGTGAGAGAGGGAGAAAACTGTGTGAGAGAGAGAGAGAAGACTGTGTGTGAGAGAGAGAGAAGACTGTGTGTGAGAGAGAGAGAGAGAGAAGACTGTGTGAGAGGGAGAGAGAAGACTGTGAGAGAGAGAGAGGACTGTGTGTGAGAGAGAGAGAGGACTGTGTGTGAGAGAGAGAGAAGACTGTGTGTGAGGGAGAGAGAAGACAGTGAGAGAGAGAGAAGACTGTGTGTGTGTGTGTGTGTGTTTTGTGGTTGCTCTCTCCTCTCCTATGTGCACTCTTTGTCTGTCCCGCATCTCCTTCTCACTTATTTGCTGGGTAAGGAAAGCCTTGTGGGCACTCTTTCATTCGCATCTGYACACCAGTTAGGTATGAGTGCTGATCAGCTCCGCCTATGGCTTTTGTTCACACAATTTCAAGAATACGTATTCCCCYAGCAACCTTMTGTTCATCGCTGAAGGCTGCTCTTAGCCAGATCTGCACAAATGCATGCCTTCGCTTTTCAGTTTGTGATGAGTTGGATATTTTCAGGGTCGTCAATTCGACATCAAAATTGATCAAAGGTTTTTTTTTAGTGAAAGCGAGGAGGAGAAGCCAATTGATTGAGCACACGYCCCTGAACGAGCTAGTATTGTCAAAGAAGAACTGTGTTTGAGCAGGAGTCCGAACTGTTTCTGATAATCTTTTTTTTTTTTTTTTTTTGCCCCTTTCCCCCTCCCCAGAGTAGGTAGGGGAGAGAAGT